GACGTAATTACAAAATATTTACACCCGAACGCGTCAAATCCCATAGAACTCAATGGTAAATGACCCAATGTTTTGGTCACCACGTAGGGATCGCCAGTGCTTCAGAGCAGGGTACGGAGAAACTTGTTTAGGGCGACTCCTTCTTACTTCCTACCTCCATGGTTTGTATAAGTAAACACTGGAAATAGATAGCTTATTGGGATCAACAAATAGGTTAATGTCATTAGAAGGTCATAGAGCTTTTTAAACTAAAGTAAAGTTGGCAAATAAAAGGTAAAATTACCATAAAAGGTCAAAATATAGAAATCGCCAACACACAGACATATGTCATCGAGTAAGGGAATAAGATGCTTTAAAGGAATAAAGAGGTCATCGTATGTTATTTTTACTAATAGTTATTTTAATTTCTTAGCCTTTTCTGTAATATCTTGTTTCTCTCGAGTTTTCTCGCCAGGATGTAAATAAGTTAGGGTGAACGAGAGAGTATTTAAACTGAAGTAGCGAAATGGTTAGTCAGAGAGTGTTTCGCTAGTGAGTGCGCATGTTATTGTTGAACCAGCTGTTTGAATTCTAAATCTCGGCTTCACATTCTTGCCGCCGAAGTTGAATATCGCGCTGGTGTTTTTTTCTGAGTCAACCTGCTACGTTAAATTAATTTTTATAGTCTTGAACTACAGTCTTATCTTTAAATTTAGTTTAGTTTACCATTATCTTTAATTTTTATCACCACAAGTGGATGATGTAAACACTATTTCGTCTGTAATAACTGAGTTCAATTTAAAAGGGTCTTTTACACCTTTCCCATACACCTTTCTCTTATAGCTAGCAGACTTTCACGTAAGTCTTGTAGCAATGTATGCTAGCCAAGAAGACTAGATATTACAATGTGGTTTATTTTATAAACATATGTAGAGCGAAGAACTTGGTACCGGCTACACTTTTATTTCTGTAACGAATGAGTGGGATAGGTTTCGAATTCCCCCCCCCCTCTGTATAGGTGTATAAGGTAAGCTTGTAAAGTTAATGTTTAATAACCTATTTTCTAATGATTTAGATTTATGCCAACAATTCTCCTTTCCGTTAGCTCCCACCAGGATGCAAATGAAATAAGCATGTTTAAGTTGGAGGTTTTGAAAGTTTTAGATATAAAGTTTTTGACAGCGATACTCGTAGTTGTATTTTTATCTGGTCCAGCTCTGCTATATTAGTTATCCGGCATTAGCCATTTTGATTGCTGAATTTAAATCGCGCATGTAGAAATGCCCACTTTTATAACAGTGTCGAAAATTCCATGTCTCCAGAGTTCTAAAATATGCTTTTTTCATCTTAAAAAAAACTGTGGACACAACATGCTTCCTTGTACGGCCTATTAAATTATACACATTTTTGATGCCCTTCATTAATTTAATTTCCTCGAATTTCTAACTTAATTAACTGATTAAATAAGGCAAATTGTAAACGACACCAAAATTGCAAATTTTGAAATTAAATATCCCGGTCTGTTTTGTCGTCTAAAGTACTCGCTATGAAAAAACAATATAAGAAGTCAAACTTATTGCATTTTTATTTTTTTTTACAAGTATTAAAACTAGTATATGAACCAGGAGACAGCGTTAAAAGTTAGATTTCGTTATTTGTTCCAAATTATTATTATTTTTTTTTAATTTGACATTGTCAAAACACGAATATTTTCATCCTTTAAAATAATTCTGTAATTGGAAGCATATGAAAACTAGGACCAACGATTGCGAAAATAAAGGCCGGGGAAGGACTTTTAAGCCGGCTAAGGTTGTAGCAAATGTAGTATAGGGGTAGCAAATAATGCAAAATTACAACTTTCTACGGCTAATCATTTTTGAGTTATACGATACATTGTATACATTCATACGTACATGCTGACGTCACGAAAAAAACATTTTGAAATATAATTTAAATCCATTTCACAATGTTTTGGAAAAAAAATTTCCTTTATTTTGTAACCAATTAAAAATATAGTTACCTTGCATTGATCTAACAGCCGCTGGTCTAGTTCTTAATTTTTATTATATGTCAAGCGAGTGTCTGAGGAGAGTCATGCTTCACACTAGTTCAAGAATTTAAGTAATATTTTACCAGTAAATAGAACTCTTTATTGGATTTTTCAGTGAAATCTGACCAAATTTAGTGTTTTAGTAATAATTTCAGTTTAGAAACAGATACATTCGAATATTATAGTGATTATATGGATTTTTTTCCACTTTTCAGTCATTTTCAAACAATTTCATTTCCAGTGAAATTTGATTCTTGTCCAAAGACTAAAATGGTTGTTAATTTTTGCTTTCGAATGCATTTTTTATCTTGGATATGCTCATTACAATGACGTAATAAAATTAGAAACAAATTAGAAAGCAAGTGAATATTTCCTGAAAATTGTGTATGCATCATTTCGGTATGTTTACATGGATGCCTTTATTTTTAATCTTTTAACGTTTCGGCATTTTTCAATGGCTGTCAGCATCACAGGTAACAAGAATGCATGTAAACTGGCAAAAGAGGTCCGAAATCTTAACAATAATAATAACGTAAATGTCACTCTCTCGGACGCAAATGCCATGACCAAATACAAATTGAATGAACATTCAGTTCCAATAAAGCACCAACTTCATAACATCAATGGAGATCGACTTATAACTAAAACCACAGTCAGACTTAGGTTAAAACTGGCCATCACAGAGGACTGAAATTGAGAAAGCGGTTCAGAAAGCCTACAGAAACTGTAATAACTGCTCGGACACAGAACTGACAACTACACACATTTTTGACTGTCCAGCCACACTTGCTGAATTGTTAAAAATTGGGGTCTTTTAAAGAGACTGAATCTCTACGATGATAACACTTTGCAGATTGCCAGAGCTGCCATCTTCGTCCATGGCACTACTTGAATAGACTTCATCATAGACATGACAACGACGTTTCTTTTCGTGCATTACAACTAAAGTTTCGAGCATAAAATCTTAAAATTTAAGTTTTTACGGAATTTTACCCTCATTATAGTCATTGTGGTTTTTTCCCCCCTTCCAGAAAAACGATTTGGGGGGGGGGATGCCTTCCGGATAACCTTTTGGACATACAGAAATTTGTCTTTCTTTTTACATTGCTACCACTGCAAATCATCGAATTTTTCAGATACTTTTCTATTTACTTTTTAAAATGCCTTCCAAGGACTTGAAAACAATAATTACTAAGTACTTATATTGATTAATTTAACAATTTTTGTTACATATTTGGAAGAATCAGCTTTAACAATATTATTGTTTTAAACGAGGAAATTTGAAAAAAAAAAATTGGAATTTATCTTAGTATACAACTGTGAAACATAACTAATATAATCGTATTCACAGAAGTATACTAACTTAATAAACTGCTCTTTTTAAATACTCATCCAATACTTTGTTATCTTATGTGAAAAGAAGTATGCAATTTTATCATCATAGTAACACATTTTGCTGAATTTAATGCATGTGTATTCGAAGAGAATTTTTCATCTTCGGTAAGCACCCACTGTTTTTATGAAAAAAAATTATGTCATGCGTTAAAAAAATAAAAAGTAAAATAAAACAATTTATTCACGTGTGTCCTTATCTTTCGGTTCCAGATTTGTAGCATTTTATTTTTAAAATCAGATTTTACTTTTCTTTAGCAAGATTCCCACCATTTTACTATTTGCAAAAACTAATTTTATCTCATCCTTTTGGAGTTTCATTTGCATAGTATAGTTATATAAATTACTTGAAATAATTTAAGCATAATGCATCTTTAATGTGAAAGATTTTCACTGCTCAAGATTTTATTTACTGGAAGGCTTTTGTTGCTGTGAACTTCGAAAACCTCGACTGAACTCATCATTAATACATATTTATTAAATTAACTGACAAGCAGACATTGAAATTATCTTTTCCTAAAACAGTCACATCGTTTATAATAAAATCACCGCATGTTAGGGCTGTAAAAAATGTGTAAGTTCACATTTTTGTTAACACGCACAACGCACTTAATTAATAATAATAGTTTTTACCTCTCAACGCTGAAATTTTAATCCAGCGTTGAAAACAAATGTAAACAAACAATATGAAAGTGTACTTTTAAAGTACAAACAGACAAGGAATGATGCAATCGAAAAGCGTATCCAATCACGAAGATGGATTTTCCCTTGCGTCCGCTGTGCAGTATGGTTTGCTTAAATGCTTTCCCACGAGGTACTGTTAGCATTAATGAGACGTATAAGCAGAAACGATATAGGCATCGAGCTCTATGGCCTTCAAATCAAATATTATGTTTTTGAGTAATAGTCTGAATCATTCAGATTAAAGGGAGGAGTACTTACACAAAATACACCGTTTTCTTCTCCTTCCAACTCGGAAAAACAGAGAAGAAATACAAATTGTTAACAGAATGAAATTTAACTTTAATACCATCTATACTTCTTAATGAATCTCATGCATTTAAAAAACTATGATTGGGAAATCAGAAAGGTATGAAATCTATGACTGGTTTAAATCCTACCACTGAGAAAAGTTTATAATAAAATGCACATTAGATTTCAAAACAGGATGCTCTAAAAATGTTTTATTATAAAAAGGGTTATAAACAAATTATAAATATTTCCCAGATTTAACAGCAGATACTGTTTTTCACATTTTAGATACCTTTTGTTCTTTACTAAAATTGTTGAATTTTCTACATATGGTAGTATATTTTGGCTCTTAACATATAAAAACATATTATGTTGAAGATTTTCATTTGTAGAATTGATAGTCTTAATTTAATATTATGCACACTTTGAATTTTGATTGCTGTGAGATGAAAACATGAAATGTAAGTCATTAACGGTTTTATTTCTTCTGGTATTGGACATGATTTCTGATTTGGGGTACCATTTCCATAATTCTGAAATGTTGTTCTCGTCGAAAAAAACAGTATTTACAATATAAGATGTTATAAACCATTTTCACTGTACTTACGGATACAAGGTCCACGTGTGTAAGATCTCGCAAATCCTGGACGGCAGTGGCATGAACTAATTCCCTGTTCAGTTTTGCAAGTTTCATTCATTTTATTGTCACAAGTGCTGTCATCTCCAACGATGCAAGTATCTATCCTAAAATTTGAAAATAATGACACGTAAAGAGAACTGTAGTAAATAAGCAGAAAGAAAGATAAGAAAAGTTTTAAAAAAAAATCGACCCTTTTTCATATACATCTCAATATAATCTTTGATCAGAAATCATATTTTTCACAAAACAACTTTGCTGTAAAGCCGGACGAGATTCCTTAAGATTCTTTAAACTTGCAAAAACTAGTCGCTATATCACAAAATGATGATTCCTCGCGTAACATGTTTTTATTGTATTTTAAGTTTTGTTAATTTATAAATGGCCTGAATTAAAGACTCAAAAGAAAACTCTTAAAATGCATTTTTTTAATTAAAAAAGACCTTCTTTTAATTTAAATTAGAAAAATTACATGCGAGATACATTTGAGGTAAGTTCTGTCAGTGAAATTTTTAATTAAAAGCACCATAAAATTTACTTTTGACAAAATTGCTCATTACGATTTTGGCTTATTACAAATGTAAGTTTTACAAAAACAAAAAAAAAAAAAAGAAAAAATAAATAAATAAACGAATCCTGAAAAGGACAAATCGTGCAATAGAATTAGGAATTGGTTGAATGTATAAAGATGATAAAACTTTAATCTTAATATGAAAGAAAATTAATGTATGGAGTTTAACTATAGAGTCTCGTTCCCTTCGCGAGCATAAACTAACCGGCTCTTAAAAGAATGTATGGATATTATTCTCAGGTCTTATTGACGACAAGAAGTCAGACGAAGGGTGTAAAGAGCCCTTTATTCATTCAATAGAATTCCACAGATGGCTCCAATTGGGTTTAAACAAAGCCAACACTCAAAATAGAATGTAATAAATTTAGCCTAACGGCTCACTGGATAATTTAACGCGCAGGATGGCTCTGACTCATAGAAGTCGGTGGACACAAGCTTAATGGCTAGAAGCACTCAACGGCTGAGAATTAAATCGCTCGTAATTCAAAATAGCAACGTGGCCTTCAAGCAGGCATAAAACGCTTTAAAATCACCTTCTAAAACTTAAATAGCACTTCTTTCTACCTCATTTGAATACATGCGGGATAGCTTATAAACATTCTGGCAAGAAGACTGAAGGGAAAGTTGCTTCAACTAAAGATTAACTGTTAGTAAAACTAAATAAATCTCCACATAGTAATAAAATAAAGTTCTATTAAAAATGTGCCTAAATATCGCAGATCCATCAATGGTCGAGCGTAAAGCCGCTGAACACTTACAGTTCTACCTGGGCTCAAGTCTCAGCAAACAAAATCTCAGCTACATTGGAAATTTCGTAGTATTCCCCATGCGTAATGAGTCAGTTACGTCAGTAAGTCAACAACAGTCATTTTCTTTCAAAGGTTCCTTGTCAAAGGCATCTCTTCTGACAAGAAGACAGTTCTCGAGTGCTTTGCCATAATCCAATCCAGAATTCTACCTCATAAATTTCACTGATCCACATATCCGAAACACTAATTTATCTGCGCTAGATCTTTCCCCGCAGAGTACTACAAAGCCTGCTATCAATTTAACGTTCTCATTTTTCCCCGATTTAATTGTAAAAAATGATAATGCAAAAGAGTACACATTTTTTAAGATGGAGAATTATTCTTATTATTTTTGGATGAATATGTGCTTGTAGATTAAATTCGAGGTTCGGCTTATAACCATTAATAGAAAAGCAACAATGCATTAAATCCTACTGTTATTGGTTTACTTTCAGAGACAATGTTTAGCAGCAACAACATATCCTTTTATAAAAATTGATTAAACGAAAATAATGATCTTATGCAAATTCCCTTTCCATGCAAAATATATTTAGTTGTAATATATAGAGTAAGCTTCTCTGTTTGGTATGTGGTTAGCGGTGTAGGAAGCTATAATGTTGTGCCCAGGTTCGAATTCCAGAGAAGGCCCCAATATTTGCTGCTGCCTATCCCATTTTGTTGCGGGTGTAATATCGGCCTACCCGCTATAATGCACCCTGAACAACGTTTACGGAAAGGCGACGGTCAATATGCCGATGGCTTCGTCTGTTCTCGATTGAAGCTTACCAAGCAAGTGCCGTGCCCTTGAACATATAGATATAAATGTATAAATACAAAGTAAAAAGCAATTCAAAACCTAATCGAATTGCGCACTGGAAGCAGCAACAAGAGGTAATAATAAAGCAAAACTAATTAAAATGATAAGTTTAAAAATCCATTCTGAACAAACCATATGCAAAATAAATAAATAAATAAATAAATAAATTAGAAACACAGTGGCAAACTGCATGAAAGGTGCAAAAAGTATTTAAAGCCAAAAATGGTGTATTGAGAATACGGCGAAGCACACTAGGGCTATCTGCCTAAGAGGATGGATGCCTTCGTGGAGGACTTTCTAAGGGAAACTGGATCGTATACACGTTACACATGGGAAAAACCAGAAAACGCCCATGCAGCCAGCCCGTTCGCGGGATTCGAACCCCGGACCGAACTACCAGTGTTCAGCGATTTTACCGCTCGGTCGCTGGTGGGCTCTAAACCAAAAACGAAAAAGGGAGAAAGGAAATTTACATCTTTCGCTGCATCGTCATCAGGGGGTTGGTGCAACGAAAGAAGTAAATACATCAGTCTGTTTCTTTAACCAACAAAGGCACAAATTAAAGTTTAATACTTGATATAATATCAGAAAATTAATCAAAGTAATCTGTGTCTTCATCAGTCTAACCCCTACAGAGCATAGTAAGTAGTGGGAAAATTCCAAAGTTTACTTAAATCATTAAAATCGCAAAAATCATAAACAAACTTAAATTGTTTTCCCTATTTTAAGCAGACCAAGTCCAGCAAACAAAACATGCAAATACAAGGAATACAACACATGGGAAAGAAATGACATATGAAAATTTGAACCACACAAGGCCGGAGTAAAAATTTTTTTCAAGACTATAGCATCAAATCATAAATAAAAATCTTAAAATACTAATAAAAATTATATTTTGTTCAAGCTGACACAATTCAAAAAAAAATATGTAAACAGAAGCAATTCAACATAGGAAAAAATAATAACAAATGAAAAATTGATTCAAAAAACATAAAATAAATGCAAAAAGTAAGAAGGAGAGTTACCTCTTAAATTCTGTAACATTAGAGAAACCAAAGTTTAAGCCTAAAATGTACTAAGTAATGAAATTAGGCAAATTACAAATTTTAAATTGATTCATCATAATAAAAAAATAATTAGAAAAAGCTTCTAATGTAACATTAAATATGGTGCAGTAAAAAGAAAAATTTACAGGAGGGGAAAAAACATCAAATTGCCTGGATTTTAAATCCGAAAAAGAATTCCAACGGTTACTCACCAAAAAATTAACCTCAGGTGTAGTTTTAGTTCTAATGTAACATTAAATATAGTGCAGTAAAAAGAAAAATTTACCAGGAGGGGAAAAAATCATCGAATTGCCTGGATTTTAAATCCGAAAAAGAATTTCAATGGTTACTCACCAAAAAATTAATCTCAGGTGATGTTTTAGTTCGTTTCACTTCAACAAATGGAAAAGTTGGAGCTTAGTACCAAAATAATGATTTTTTTTATTATTATTTTAGCGATCGATTAGTCGTACTAAATGTAAAAATATTTTCGAAAAAGCAATAAAAAATTTTATAATAACTAAATAAATTCGAAGAAGCTAAAAATTAATTCTAGTGATTCAAAGAAGCGTGTGGTATTACAAACATTAACCGTGTGGTAAAGACCGGACAGTATTTAGTAAACCGTGAGTAAGCTTAGGTAATGCAAATGAGTAATTAAGGGGAAAAATTACAAATTATAGGTAACCTAAAAGATAAAAAAGTCAGGAAACGAAAAATATTGTCAAATGATACAGAATATAGAACTAACTTAAGAGGGTTTCCTTGAGAACTGGAGACTGAAGAAGGCCATTTTTATTAACAAGATAAACACACACACACACACGCGCATATATATATATATATATAATTTTGCAGAAGAAGACACCAATTAACTTTTCACTATGGGAGTGTTGGTACATATTACATACATACAAATTGCGTCATGACCAGACGGAATATTGGGAAACCCGCAATAATGCTTGGATAATCACAGCGTGCTTTAACAACCTACAGCTTTATTTCTTGACGATTAATCTACTAAGACATATCTTCTTGATTGGCACAATATTATGTGTGCTATAAGCGCCCACAATTCTATATACCCTGATCACATTTTAAATAGTAGAAGATACAGCTAAGCGAAGAGATGTGAGTTACTCAAGCAGGGGAAGGTATAAAATAGAGACTGCGTACTTCAGCAGGGCTTGTGCTTGAATCCTGAACAGAGATTGGGCAACAGTTTTCGCATTGCGGATAGAACTAATGACATCAGTGACGCAGTACCTATTCTTTGAGAGGAGATGCAGGCAAATAAAATCAGGAATTAAAAGGGCTATTGCCAACTGATGTAGTAATTTGTTAGTAATTTTCTTTTATATTTTATACCTTACATATTCCCTCCTCCCTTGAAGAAGAAAAAGGCTTGACGATAGTTAAGCCTTTTGAGAAAAAGCATTAGAACGTTAGGAAAGAAAGATAAATTTTGTACAATGTATACAATATGTATGAATAAGCAAATAAGTTGCTTCAAGAACACAGCCTTTGGGTTTCACTAAGCCACGTCATTGGGTTCATGAACCTTCTCATATCTGATTATATAAAACAATACATAAAAATGTAATTTGGAAATATTAGAGCGAAATATTATATAATATTCAAATTAAATGTAAAATATAAGTTTCTAAATTTCTTGAAAAGTTTTCTCCAAATAGTACAAACATATTCTAAATTTTGAAGTCTGCATTTTTTCATGTAATAATTGAAAACTTTCAGAGTTTTTGAAATGTCGCTTGAAGATAATGCAATAAATTTGACAGTTCTTGCCTTTTTTGAAAATATTTCATAAAAACTAAGTATTGTACTAAAGACAAAATCGAGATATTTCTATTACATATTCATGAAA